AGTCAAAAGGTTAAAGAGATGTGGACATCTGCTAAATTTAATTGTTTAGTTAATATTCAATAAACATCATGGATAGGTTAATTAAACAAACTTCATATATTTTGCATTCTCAGGTCAAAGATCAGCACAATTTTTTTTTTTTTTTTTTTTTGCTAAACCATTGTTGTCCATGAATTTTATAACACCTCTATTGACTTTTCAGGTTAAAGGTTAATGTATTCCTGCTACAGTAAAACTTCATTATAAGGATCTCATAGTGATATTTTTTTATTTGTAAGGAATTAGATATAAAATCTCCCAACTCTTTCTATAATATGTCACTGAATGTGCTTCTTCATTTTAGAGAGTTTTACAAGCAAATCATATAATGACTTTCAATCCTTCAAAACACAATATGTATGATATGAATATGAATCTTGAGATTCAGACTTTCAGCCTTTTAGGCTTTCAGACTCTCAGACTTTCAATCTTTAAAAACTTTCAATCTTGAGGACTGAATATTTTAATATTCATTTTGTCTGTCTTGTCTTTTATGTCATTATGTTTAATCCTTAGTAATTTAAACTTTTTATGTTTGTAAAACCAGAGTGTGAAAGTACAGTGTTTGTGTAATCTTCTTAATGTTTATCTATAAATACTGATTTTAATACAATCAAATATAATTTTCTGATGATCAATATTTCCAACTGAATTCAAAGACAAACTGCCTGACTGACCTATACATATTTAGAATTTCAACATCATACACTCTTGAATATCCATAAATATCAAAATATAATGATTCAGCATTAGCTATCATCCATACACTTGTTAACCTAAGGAAGGCTCTTATCATAAGTTAAACCCATGAAATTCCTCATGCAATTTTGAAGAATTTCTGTTATAAAAGATGCTAAAGACAAAAGGCCCATAAATTTCCAAAAAGTAATAATTTTTAAAACTATATATCCACAATAAATTGGGGAACATTTGAAGAACCCCTTTTCTTTATAACTCATGACATTTCATGCAGATAATGGCTATAATGTGTGAACAATCTTTATGAAAAAAGGATGGTGTAAAGTTAGCCTCACCCAACACCCAAGGGAGAGGGGAAGGGGGTTGAACCCTGTTTTTTGTTAAAAAAGGTAATTGAATTTTAAAGTTAAAAAAAAATAAAATTGAATTAAATTGAAAAGATTAATTTTTCTAAAAAAAAAAATAGTTTAATTTTTTTTTTTTTTTTTTAATTTAACATTTTAATTTTCTTTTTTATTTAACCCCCTTCCCCTCTCCCTTGGGTGTTGGGTGAGGCTAACTTTACACCATCCTTTTTTCATAAAGATTGTTCACACATTATAGCCATTATCTGCATGAAATGTCATGAGTTATAAAGAAAAGGGGTTCTTCAAATGTTCCCCAATTTATTGTGGATATATAGTTTTAAAAATTATTACTTTTTGGAAATTTATGGGCCTTTTGTCTTTAGCATCTTTTATAACAGAAATTCTTCAAAATTGCATGAGGAATTTCATGGGTTTAACTTATGATAAGAGCCTTCCTTAGGTTAACAAGTGTATGGATGATAGCTAATGCTGAATCATTATATTTTGATATTTATGGATATTCAAGAGTGTATGATGTTGAAATTCTAAATATGTATAGGTCAGTCAGGCAGTTTGTCTTTGAATTCAGTTGGAAATATTGATCATCAGAAAATTATATTTGATTGTATTAAAATCAGTATTTATAGATAAACATTAAGAAGATTACACAAACACTGTACTTTCACACTCTGGTTTTACAAACATAAAAAGTTTAAATTACTAAGGATTAAACATAATGACATAAAAGACAAGACAGACAAAATGAATATTAAAATATTCAGTCCTCAAGATTGAAAGTTTTTAAAGATTGAAAGTCTGAGAGTCTGAAAGCCTAAAAGGCTGAAAGTCTGAATCTCAAGATTCATATTCATATCATACATATTGTGTTTTGAAGGATTGAAAGTCATTATATGATTTGCTTGTAAAACTCTCTAAAATGAAGAAGCACATTCAGTGACATATTATAGAAAGAGTTGGGAGATTTTATATCTAATTCCTTACCAATAAAAAAAATATCACTATGAGATCCTTATAATGAAGTTTTACTGTAGCAGGAATACATTAACCTTGAACCTGAAAAGTCAATAGAGGTGTTATAAAATTCATGGACAACAATGGTATAGCAAAAAAAAAAATTGTGCTGATCTTTGACCTGAGAATGCAAAATATATGAAGTTTGTTTAATTAACCTATCCATGATGTTTATTGAATATTAACTAAACAATTAAATTTAGCAGATGTCCACATCTCTTTAACCTTTTGACTAAAAACTTAATAAGGTCATTTATTTACCTTTGTGTAACTTTGATGAGTATCTTATATGTTGGATATATTAGCAAAACACAATCTAATCTGAGTAAAGAGGAAACCTGGAAAAGCTTGTATTCCTTTGTATGAACAAATTAATTGATGTCATGCAGTTATTTTAATCAAATTATCAGAACAATCTGATGATTCTTAAATAAAAAGTTCTCACTATACTAGTTAGAAACCATTGCTCTACCTGTCAAACACAAAAATATGAATGTTAACTTAAAAAAGCAAGTAAGGTTCCTTTTCTTCAAAGGGTAAAATTTTAATGGATTGGGTGAGTGTTTGTTACTTTATGCCTATAAAGAAAAATATATGCCCTCCATTTTGACTGTATGGATGAAGAACTGTTTATATAATTGAATCAAACTTATTTCTTTCATGTCATTCTTAATGTCATGGTATCCATCATTCATAATATGTACAAGTCTCAATCCTAATAAATGAATCCACATTTTGTTTTTATTTCACATCCCTTGGCAACCATATTTGAGGGAAACTCAAAATTCTCTGTTCATGTCATTTTCTGGTGTATACCTTCATCATTTGACATAATTCATTTACTTCTTGTATTTTGATTTCCTAAATCAGAGCTATTCATACATAGAAAGAAAAAAAAATGAATACAGTGAATTTATTGCAATACCTACATGTTTGATACATAAAAAAGATATATTTTTTTCATTCCTTTTTTTGACCTTTGGATTGATCCTGAATTGAGATAACCATTTACTTTTTGGCAAGTGTAAACTATATACTGCATGACTAAACATGATTTGTATATTGAAAATTGAAATGGTTTCTTTAATGCTTAAATCAAAATACTCCAACTGTCTTAGTGAGAATTATGCTCAATTATTCTCTTTAGGGAGAGGGCTCAAATAGGCTTTGCCTGCTGCCCATGTCATTCACTTATGTGAATAAAATTTTGTATAAATTAATTATGCTCAATCAACTTTGTGAAATATTCCCAATTTCCAATGCTTCTTATTTACATTAAGTAACTGACTCAAATTAAATTGTTTGTTTTCTCATTTATTTTATAGGAAATAACATGCTGACAGTGAATCTAATCATTTTTAAAAACTGGTTAAAGTAATGTTTACAATTGACTTAAAATGCTTAAATGCAAGTTTATTTCATACAGAAATACCTTAATTGTATAGACTGAATTTACTTATAGATTCAATATATAGAAGAACCCCTTATAAATAGTAAAAAACATTTTTCAAACCTGATTTTCTTGCCTATTCTCTCATGCATTACCTAATTTGAGTTGAGTATTCTCAAATTATTGATTACATGAACAAACAAATTTAAGATAAAAACACAATATATGCTGAATGCCCTGAAATAAAATGGTTACATATTTAAGATGTGTAACACATCATGTACAACTTTTAAGTCTACAAAATTTTAAGTTAACCATATTATACAATAAGACTACTTTTTCAAAGTTATGAGAAATTCTCCACAAAAAATGTATTTATGCAAAAGATAAATGTTAGGGTACAATTTTAAAATACATTTTACATGAATCACATAAAGAACATGTCAAATCATTTCTTTGTGGTTGTTTTCCTTTTGGAACATCTGTGAACAGATATTCTGTTTTGTCTTATTGATACATAAAAAGCGTCCAAAAATCATTTGGAAATGTTGTGTTAAACCCTGATACTCAGAATTTTAAGAGTTTCTGATGTGTGCACTACTTAGAAATGTTTACAATGTAACAAAGATGAAATTCCTAATTGATTTAACCAGCAATTATAAAGTCATCAGGTTTACACATGCTTTTATAACACATCATGTACATTTTTTTTTCTACTAGTTTTCTTTGTTCACAAAAAATTGAAATCAACAGTACTTAGCATTCCATATTAAGAAATATGAACCCTAGCTATTAAAAATCTAAAAGTATATTTGTGCATCAATGCAATATGTTTAACAAAACAATCTCTTTCACTGTGATGAAAATTGTCTTTTTCATAGAACATGCAGATGAAGAACTTCTTTGGATGATGTCATTTTCACATGTAGAAAAGAAACTAATTCAACTAAAACTAAAAGACAGTCCTTAAAATTTTAAGGACATTAAAGGATGATATCAAGACTGATAAAATTCTACAATTATCATCCAAAGATGTATATGTTTGGATTTATTTTTTAATTCACAAGCAAATGATAAGCTGCCATTTAATCTTTCAAACTTAAAAAAAAAGTTCTATACTTTTGAATTAAAAATTTCAAAATCTAGAGGAGTCTTCCTAATACCTATCTATTTATGACTGAAGGTATGTAAATCACCAGAGTTGCTGTACTGCACCATTTGAATAAAAGTTTTATCCACATTCTTGACCTTTATTTCAAAACATATATTATTTCAATTAGTCTTTATCTATGCAGTGATTATAAGATTTTTTACAGAATTCTTAGGTATTACATAGTAATAGTCTTTAAACATCCTTGTTGTGCATATGATTTACATTTCCAATTCTTTCCAAAGAATATGCTATGCCACCCAATATAACTAAATATAAAGTCTCTAGGTTATCACAAAATGTTAAAAGTTTCAACATTACAAAGCTAAATAATCTTACATCAACTGACTTTTACCCAGGAGAAAAATGATCCAAAAATCTATAGATCATCTCCGAATCTTTCTTTTACTTATGATGTGAAGTTTGCAGGTTACAAATTATTGTCAAAGGTAGTTATCTCAATAATCTCATGCTTTGACCCTGACAAAGTGTCCTATAAAACTAAGTGTATTACTCTAACCTGTTCTGTGTAGTAAGCATGAAGTCTATGGGATGATAGAAATATTCAAGATATTATTACATCAGATTCACAGATCAGGGGACACTTACATCTTTATGGGGGTCCTATTGAGACCTATTAAATTCAAAATAGGAAACATACATACACAAACAAAATGTATTTACAGTTCCAGGAAAGTAATAATTACACCAAAGCTAGCTTTTAAACATCTGTGTAATTTGTTAGGGGTTGTAGAAATAAGATGAAAAATAAAAGGTTTAAATGTATACTTCTCATACATAACAACTGTCTTCAATATGAATTAGTAAAAATAAAAGTCACATTTAGATACTTTGAAGTCTGGGAATTATTTTTTTTTAAGATCTCATACTATCAGAAAATCACAATATCAATTCTAGGATTTGATTAGACATCAGTTTGTTATAAGACTGCAATTTATCTATTGTTGTGTATGACAGAATATGAAAGAGATGAAGGGGAGAGCTTTTGACTTTTTTTTCCTTCAGCATAGTTTAAAATATATATTATACAGGTCTTTATCTATGTAGTGAATATAGGAATTTTACAGAAACCCAAGGTATTACATAGTAATAGTCATATAAACACCTTTGAACATTGTACATTTGATTAACATTTCATTCCTTTCCTAAGAATTTGCACCTAATTTTTATAAAGTCTATAAGTTATTACACAATGTTTAAGTTATTGCATTACAGGATTCAAATCAGTAATCTCAGTAATTAACTTTTACCCAGGAGTAAATGATCCAAAAACTCTATAGAAATATCTTATTGATTCTTAAATCTGAGTGTGTACTTATGATGTGAAGTTTGTAAGTTACAAATTATTGTCAAAGAAGTCATCTCAATAATCTTATGCTTTGACCTTGACAAAGTGTCCTTAACAACAAAGTGTATTCCTACAACCATTCTATATGTAATTAGTATGATGAATATGGTATGATAAAGATATTCAAGATATTATTAAAACACAGATTATGGGACACTTGCATCTTTATTGGGGGTCTTATTGAGACCAATTTTAAATTCAAAATTAAACATGATACATACACAAACAAAATATATTTACAATTCCAGGAAAGTTAAATAATAACATTAAATCCAGCATCTGGATATCTGTGTTAATTTCTAGGGGGTTGTAAAAATTAGATGAAAAATAAAAGGTTTTAATGTGTAATTCCCATACATAACAACAGTCTTCAATATGAAATGGTAAAAATAAAAGTCACATTCAGATACTTTGAGGTCTGTGAGAATTAGTTTTTAAAGAGCTCATGCTATCAGAAAATCACAATTTCAATTCTAGGATTTGATTAGATCTCAGTTTGTTAAATGATTACACTTTATCCATAGTCAGTGTCTGACAGTGAAAAATACAATCCTGGGTCCTTTCTTTGTCATCCTATAAACCACAGTCTATGATTGTACTGGTTAAATTAGTTGGAAATCATATTTATCTATGTTCTTCTTAAATCCTCCATCAACCTTCTGTTTTATTTTCTTGTCTCAGTGATCCAAGAGAGGATATTCTGTTAGTCTTTGCATAATCTGATAGTCTTTCACCATTCTGAGAGTAGACATAGATCATTTCCATAAGCCCTCACTAGAATATCCTGGAAAATAAAAAATAATCTCTTATTTAAAAATTTTTTTTTAATGTAATATAAGCTTGATGGAATTCTAAATATAGACAAAAAGGGTATAAATACAAGGTGTAATATCAGATTTTGACTTTTCATATTAACCATGGGTAACACCTCCAGTAAAGAAAAGAGTAAAGGAATGAGTAAAATTCAGTGTGAAGAGAGAATTCTTTCAGAGAAAGATGTAGACAGAGGTATACCAGTTAAAATAAAAAAAAAGGTGGCACTATTGAGATCATTTCTCAAGAAGAATATAACCAATTATGTCCAGAAAAGGGTGTACCTAATGTTGTCAGAGATTACATAGAAAGACCCTTGATTGCAGAAGAAGCAAATGAAGAATATAACCATTTATTACCAAAAGAGGATAAGAATTACTTGGATTACTCTGAAAGACCTTTGACTAGAGAAGAAGTCAAGTTTATAGATGATAAGAGAAAACAGTTGTCAGAAAAAAATGTTGTTAAAGACACATGATTTTTAGCCCACAAAACCATTGGAGATACAAGGATTACAAGATATAAGGATTAATGGAGGAAGTCCAAACTGAACTCTTGGAGGACATTAAGGCTTATTATGAGAGTAACTTTTCCAGTATTTGTTTATTACAAAATTATGTATTCTAATTTAAAAAAAAAAAAAAGTTTTCACTTTCATTTGTTGTGCTTAAGACCATTTAAATTGACCTTATGATCAAGATTGTGATATATACACTCTGATATTATCATTTATGATGTCTCTATGATGTCTACCTCAAAAGTTTGAATCAGGGTATTTGTGTTCAAAGAGCTGAAGAAACTATACAGACAGATCTAAGATTTTGGAAGCATACATATTAATGAGGTTAAAGGAGATATAACACTTGAATTATTATAAAAGAAAGAACACAAACTCATAGAAATGATATTGAAAGTACCTTAAATGAATAAAGTGTCATGCTCCAAAGTATTGCTTTTATAAACAGGAGAAGGTTTACAGCAGTCCCATACACTCATAAAAAGATCTTGGTTAGTAGAAACACCAGGGAATGTTATTTCCAAACAATCAGATCATCTTACATCAGTTATATGGTTACAGTCTTTATACATAATCAAGAGGGTCATTAAGATTTCTTTTATGGTCATCCTGATGGGCCACATTATAGTATTTTTACCCTGTGATATAATGTTAATATTAAATGAAAAATTCAGAAATTTTATTAGCAATTGGAGTCAAAACTTCTTATCTTTACCAACTATGCTATTAAGGAAGCTGGGGGTTAACAAATTAGCCATATTTAACTTATTCTATAGATATGCTATCTTCAGCTGTTGACTATCATTTGGAAAGAAAAACTTCATACATTTTAGTTTTAAAATTTGATCATGATTTTTATGCCTTTTCTTGTGAAGGATATCAATATGGTTTAAACATGACCATGACCACCAAGCCCTCTTTATTTAAAAAAAAAATCATATATCATTTACTTATCAATTCCAAAATATAAAAATGCATATGTAAATAAATAAATAAATAAAAATTACAATTGTATCTCATTGAAAGTTTACCTTCAAGTTTGTGTGTTTCTATGTTGATTGACTAACTGTGTATTTCCAAAGGAAGAGCAGACAGTCTGAACTTCATAGAGAATGGATTATAGATGGTTAGGAACAAAACATATCTTCCATGTTGAGGACTGTAGAAATAAAACCATTTTGTTAATATGACAGAGTACTGCATGAAACAATGCATGTTTAAATACAACATGTACAATGCCAAAAAAAAGATCATGGAAATATTTGTTTTTAATCTCGAAAAATTGTTTTTAACATTAACTCCATATGAGAAAAGCTCATCATGTTATCTATAGATAATAAACAAGCACAACTACTGTATTAATATCATAAATAAAATGATTATCAGATTAATTATTTAGACACTAAAAGACTTTTTATTAACAGCAGATTCAATTTTGTTTAATACCTGTCAGTACTGCATACAAAAAAAAAATACATTTTTTAGCATCATCACAGTACAACATGTAGTCCTTCATTTTTTGAAAAGCTCATTACCAAGAAACAAAAGTGAAAATGAAATTATATGTATACCATATATCACACATATTTAGAATCAAAACAAAAGCAAATTACTATTAGGATAAATCTTTTGTAAATTCATCCTTTTCTCTCATTACATTCCCAATCAATATCTCTTTGATCACCATTTAGTAAGTCTGAATTCCATGGGTAACATACATAATGAATTATGAAATTAAATCATAATCTATACAAAAGGACTTATTAATATTCTGAAGATCCCTTGATACATTTTAGGTTAAATAAGGGTGTGCTTATATGAATGTAAGTTAGAGACATTAGATCACATAAGTATTACACAGTAATTAAAGTAACCATATAATCATGGTTAAATGCAAAGATGACCATCATATAAATGTAAAAATTAAAACAAGACTAACTTACCAGAGATATTCAACTATATGCCCAATAAGCCTATCCATTAAATAATCCAGTGAAATAACATCTCAGCTGATCCTGAAAAAAATCATACAATTCAGTGATACACATTTAACCTCATTTTACAATGTAAGTAAAGCAATAATTTACAGACAAAAGGGATAGAAATGTAAAAGATACCATGTATTTTACCAACATTTAGTGAATATTTTTCTGATTGAAATTCAATCATAGAATAACCCATCATAGAAATAATAAATGCACTCTGAGTTACATGCAGGTTATACAACTGTAAATCACATGAAATGAGGATAAATACAGCATTTCCATTCAAAATAGAACTTTACATATAAATAATAGTTAAATGCAAAGATGACCTTCATAGTAAATGTAAAAATTAAAACAAAACTAACTTACCAGAGATATCCAACCATATGCCCAATAAGCCTATCCATTAAATAATCCAGTGAAATAACATCTCAGCTGATCCTGAAAAAATCATACAATATTCAGTGATACACAAATTAACCTCATTTTACAAAGGAAGTAAAGCAACAATTGACAGACAAACAGGACAGAAATGTAAAAGATACCATATGTATTTTACCAAAATTTAGTAAACATTTTTTCTGATTTAAATTTAATCACAGAATGACCCATCATAGTAATATTAAATACACTCTGGGTTACATGCAAATTATACCTTACATGAACTGAGAATAAATACCCCATTTACATTCATATAAACTGAATTTTACATAACTAATTACTCTTTTAACTGATGTCACCATTAGTATGTCAGAATATTCAGGGTGTACAAATCATGTATATTCACTTTTAACGTACTCAATATATATTTTACATGTTGATGTTTGAAATCACTGACTAAATAAAATACATACATGTATATACATGAAGGTTTAAAAAAAAAGGGGGGCACACATGTTTATAGATTTACAGAGATGCTCAGACTGAGTTTTTCCCACTTTCAGTGGGCCACTGTTGCACCAGAATGTAAAAATATGAGTGACAAATAAGGCAAAAGATTCTGTATATTTCATTAAAAAAGATTTGAGACAAAAGATTCATTGGCATAATATGATCTGATTGATTATCTCCATATCCTTCTTTTGGTCACTGTGATTAAAGATTCATAGAAATATTAGAAATGACAAATGAGAATATCACTTTAGTTGTTTTAAAAGCATGTATCAGTATTTTATAAGATATGCTAGGAGTCTCCTATAAGAATATTTAGAATACTGATATATAAAAGGAATGTGAGACAATATGATCATAACTCATGCAAAAAAAATTTTATAAACATTTTGAGGATCTTTTAGTGTCCATTCTGTATTTCAGGGTAAACAATGGCAGTGTTTATATGAATGTTCTAAACATAAGGTATATAACACAGAATAATGAATAAATACAAAGATGACCTTCATAGAAAATGTATAAAGAAAAGTTTATTAAAACTTACCATGTAACCAGGTAACTCAGTAGAGTAATATTCATTAAATAATCCAGTGAAATAAAATCTAGAAGCTGATCCAGGATTCAGCTGTTCAGAACTTTCTTGGAAGAAAAAGGTAGAAAATCAGTTTTGAAAAATCCATAGGACCATACTGTTATTACAGGAAGTCTCAAGCGCTGTGAAAGTCTGTGTTATTGTGTCAAAATAAGCAGCCATCGCGAGCTTGTGAAGGACTAACATGAGATTCGCTGCCAAGTTTATGACGTCACAATGCATAGGTAAGCTCGCTGACTAGATAGTTTACAGAAAGATAAGTCCAAAAAGTATTTTTGCATTTTGATGCAACAGGTATCAAAAAGATGATGCAATAGTGTGTTATATATAAAGATGATGCAACAAGTAAAAAGATGATGCAATAGATATATAAAGATGATGCAATAGATATATAAAGATGATGCAATAGATATATAAAGATGATGCAATAGATATATAAAGATGATGCAATAGATCTAAAAAGATGATGCAACATATGTACTGAATTGACCCGGCTATCCTTAGAACCCCCTAATCTGCACTCCCTTGACCCGCCTATCCCCCCAGGGGCTGCACTCCCTTGACCCACCTATCCCCCCAGGGGCTGCACTCCCTTACTTTTACTATTGGAAATGTTCTTGGACCCCCCCTCCTATCCCCAGGATCAGCCCCAAAATTTTAATTTTCCCTGCCCCTTCCACTACATGGCTGTATCATATTTTCAAAACCTTTTTACATTTTAAAATGTTTATAAAGACAGAAATAAATGATAATGTACGTTCTTATTACCTGGCCAGACTAGGGGTATTAGGTAAGATTTCTTCATTTAAATCCGCATCTCTGAATTCCGGTTTTGGCATGCAAAGGAGGAATCGGCTGTATAAACCATCGTTAGAGTTGGCATTTTTTCTTTCCTCGTCAAGGCACCTGCAAATTTCCCCAGGATGCGCCATTCCACAGATATTTACCACAGGCTTTTGAATGGAGATGTTACCTGAAAAAAAAATGTCTCGATATTAATATTTATTTGTTTAACAATTATGAATATGCGCAATTGAACCGAATAAATCAAAATCAATTATAATAGAAGACTCACTGCTACAAGTTTGTCTCTTTAAAGTTCCGCCATTGTACGCTGTCAGATATATAGTCGTATCGTAGTCGGATGCGGAACCAGTCTTGTACAGCCCGAGACTGCTCTGCCAAGTTTTGAGCTCATCCCACAGCTGAATTTGCCGGCTGTCGTTGTTCAGCTGTTTTAATAGTGATTTAACTGTAGCAGCTGTATTAAAAGAAAAAGAAATAAAAAAAATAATACACACCTGAATTTGTTTCTAAATTTAAATAATCTTTTTTTTTGTTGTTGTTCATCGTATCATTGAAAAAATGAAATACTTAAAAATGAATTTGTAACGAAAATTTAAACTTATTTATTTTTTAATTATATATCTATCTATTTATTGGATAGTAATTGTAATAAAGAATTAAAAAAACAAAAACAAAAACAGGATGGTCTTTTATTTGTCACTAAAAGGTAATGGGGGTGGGGTGGGGGTAATCTAAGTTGCTACAAAAAATTGAATGATCAATAAATAATGATTTGCAATTGGAATGTTTATTTGTTAAATGCACTGCTTGGCCAGAAGAAGACTCAAGCAGACAATTTTTAAAATGTCATTGTATTAAGGGAGAGACCTCTCATGTGCGTGAGCATATGTATCCGATATCTGAGCAGAGGATATGTATTTTACCCCTTTATTTACATGTGTAACAAAAACGGGATTTTTGTAAGACCTTCAACTGATTGCTTGATCATAATCAAAGTACTCAGAAGTACAGAGAGCCGGGCTAATTTACAGAGTAGAATGAATTTCTTACATGAATCACGTTTATATTCTGATGGAAAATTATTTAAAAACTATCAATATAAATGTTAAGACACTGGCAGTGAGTTTTAAATCTTCGTATTAATTTTTTTCACAGTGACGTCACAATTGGTAGACATTATCAACCATCTACACCGTTAAGATTTTTTATGAGTTTCTGGCTTCATGGGATGTGTAAAAATTATAAAAACGAATCTTATATTATTGATTTAAAAAAAGATCTTATATACATATTTAATCTCTTTTTAATTGTCTATATATGATTAATTGTGATAAGACTCTAATCAAATCAATGAACACATTTGTAATAAATGTAAAAATATTGAGCTTATGTTTTTTTTTTGTTTTGTGTGTTTTTTTTTTTTGGGGGGGGGGGTGGGGGGAGGGGGGATGGAGGTATTGAAGCAACAGTGTACGAATCATGGAAATCAATCAATATAAATATTTATGTGTAAGTTTTTCAATAAATAATCAATGTAAAAAATTTAATTAATATATAATAAATATTTTTAAAATATACTTACATTGATTCATTCTAAACCTCATGTCGCATATTTCAGTAGCACTCTCAACTTCGGCAATGGCATTTCGGACAGCACCCATAGCTGCTGTTTTGTTTGTTCCAGTGAATCCGACCGTCGCAGAATAAATGATTGAAGGTTGGGTCCAGCTTCCCCAGGGTCGAATTTCCGATTTGTTCAGGAAATGCGCGATGCCAGTTAGAAAAGGAGGAATTAAAAATTCCATCGGTACGCTGTTCGACACTGCAGTATTATGCAACATTTCATTTGTTAATTCATCGAATGGATCATTAATGGTTTCCTTGTAGCAATTTTGAATTCTGTCTCGATGCACAAATGCAGACATCCTTCCACTTCCTTAATTTGTTTTCATGCAATGACGTTAAAGTGAGTAGTTTTTAACGTCGTTGCTATTGTGACGGCGTAAACGTGACGTCAGAGATAAACTTACTATAGCGACGACAAAATGCACGGGAAAATATTTTAATTTGATTTGTGTCAGTTAAGTGATTTTTTATTTAGGGAATATACATGTAGACTTTTATTATGGATTTGAATGACTTATTGAAACCAGTTAGAAAAATCGAAGACATACTGAAGATTTTGGAATACATCAAAATTCTGCCACCGGGAATACCTCAAAGATATGAACATATTCGAAATGTTTTTAATTTAAACAAGTTTGGCTTTCCAGAAAGCCTTAAATGTCATCTCTTTGGTATCAATAATGTCAAAGAAATAAAACAGAAAGGGAAATATTTAAATGCAATGAATATATGGATTATTACACCTGAAGTTCCCAAATGACTTATTCAGCAAACTCCACAGTAAAGTACGCAGTTTCTTTTGGCCGCAGTATATATATATGGAAAGCATGGACGTCTGCGAGAGCACCCAAGGCGATTTTTGGTGAAATTTCATTCTAGCGGTCTTTGTGCTTCTGGGTGTTTACAATTTACTTAAATTCAAATACTTTCCTTGAACTATATTTTCTTAACACAATACGGAATTATCAACAATAATTATCATTCATTTAAAAACAGCTAATCATTAAAGTTTGACAGGAATTAATTTAATAAATCCCATTACAGACTAAAAATATTAACATAAAATTAGTGTTGACCACTCTTCGTTCACTTTTTGCAGAATCTAATTGTAAGCTTGTTCATTTGTGCGAGAACCAGTTTTTCCTTCGTGTCAACAAATCTATATACATGTATAGAAATCACGCCATTGTCAATTCTCCTTGTGTGGTTTACCAATTTAATAATGTATTAATGTATTGAGGATCAATATATATACGACACCGAAACTATAGATATTTATAAGCATCGTACTTCTTTTCTAAATTTTCCTTGGCTTTCAAATAACCTAAACCGAAAGTAGATCACACACTCCTAAGCTAGTTCTTCTAAAAGAAAACCAGTTTACAGGGTACTTGGAACTCTGTAAAACATCGAGGACTCCCGAAAGATTAATGGAGGCTTACACTAGGACTTCACTTCCGGCATACAATCTTAATGTGTCATCTCCCGAGGGAGATGACAATAACCGGGGATCAGATGCTGTGATTTTGTCTCTATCAGACGTGGCGGCATTGGTACAAACCTTAGAAGTTATACTGCCGCGATTTCAAGATAATCCTTTGAATGTGAGTCCTGAATTGGTACAGAAGGATTTTGAATATTATATTTCCAAGGGAATATCAGAAGTTGGAACGGTGAATATTATTCCGCCTGTGACCACATGCTGTGGTCAATTAAAGAAGGTTGGACAAAAAGTTTGCAATGTATTTCGATCCAGATTTAAACCAGCGGTTGCAGTTATGTACGAATTGAAATGCAGCAAATGCAACACTGTGTATAAATGCAGTACCTACAAGAAGAAAAGTATTGAGCTTTACTACTCTGATGTTTTAGAGCAAGAATATTTTGCGTCCACATGCGACTCGGTATTTTCCATGGAATTACTAAGGAAGGTTGATATTGACTTGTAAGTATGAGAATTTAAATAATTTTGGAAAAAATGTGTGTAATGTATAGGTTACATGCATTATCGATCCCCTATAAATATGAATACAAATTACTGTAGATTGAAACATATTTAGGCAATTAAAAAAATCAGTATCAATAATTTTCCATACTCAAATTAAAATACGGCTTTTTTAACATTTATAATTCATAAAATGGCTTTGGATAAATAAAATTTAACTGATACTGAATAGTGATTTTAGATACAGGAAATCAGCTTCATTTGAAGGAATTGCCTATGCCTATAACGACGAACACTTGGGGTCAGAATGGATGAATTTAGATAAAAATACTGAAGTAATGGATAGAAGACGCCTGAGCGAGGCATGGTACAAGAAAACCTTTTTAGAGATAAAGGGAAATTATGGGATGCAACAAAATATCGAGTATATTTCATCCGGCAAACTGGAAGACGTGCTTGAATCTGAAATGAATGGCCTATGGAGGACATTTTCCATTAAATGGTCTTCATCCTTCCATACCGACAATTGCAAACACGAAGGTAAGTGCACTATTTTTTAATCAAATAAAACTAGTCTCAAAAAACTTAATTTAACAAATTTAACTACTCCCATAGATGCAGATAAAAATTAAACATTACCATTACGTTTTCACTGCTACATGTATGTCTATAAATATGCATTAATTATTAATAAAGAGTGGTGTGCGAGACTAACATAATTTATTAATATAGAGTGATGTGCGAGACTAACATTAATAAGTATCGAGTGGTGTGTGAGACTAACCCTATTTAGTAAAGAGTGATATTATAAGTATATAGTGGTGTGTGAGGCTAACCCTAATTAGTATCGAGTGGTGTGCGAGACTAATCCTAATTAGTATCGAGTGGTGTGCGAGACTAATCCTAATTAGTATCGATGGTGTGCGAGACTAACCCTAATTAGCATAGATTGGTGTACGAGACTAACATTAATTAGTATCGATGGTGTGCGAGACTAAACCTAAACAGCATAGATTGGTGTACGAGACTAACATTAATTAGTATCGAGTGGTGTGTAGACTAACCCTAATTAGCATAGATTGGTGTATGAGACTAACATTAATTAGTATCTAGTGGTGTGCGAGACTAACCCTAATTAGAATAGAGTGGTGTACGAGACTAACATTAATTAGTATCGAGTGGTGTGCGAGATTAACCCTAATTAATAAAGAGTGGTGTGCGAGACTAACCCTAATTAGTAAAGAGTGGTGTGCGAGACTAACCCTAATTAGTAAAGAGTGGTGTTTGGGGCTAACCCTAATTAGTAGCGAGTGGTGTGCGAGACTAACCCAATTTGTAAAGAGTGGTGTGCGAGACTAACATTAATTAGTAAAGAGTGGTGTGCGAGACTAACCCTAATTTGTAAAGAGTGGTGTGCGAGACTAACATTAATTAGTAAAGAGTGGTGTGCGAGACTAACCCTAATTAGTAGCGAGTGGTGTGTGAGACTAACCCTAATTTTTAAACAGTGGTGTGCGAGACCAACCCTAATTAGTAAACAGTGATGTGAAAGACTAACATTAATTAGTATCGAGTGGTGTGCGAGGCTTACACTAATAAGTATAGAGTTGTGTGAGAAACTAAACCTAGTTAGTAGAGAGAGTTGTGTGTAAGTCTAGAGTGGTGAACAAGACTAACCGAATTAGTAGAGTGTTGTGCGAAACTTAGAATCCAATCTAATAGAATTATGTGCAAGATATACTTTATATAGTGCTATGGTGTACAAGACTTACCCATTTTTAATAGAATAATGTGAGACCAACCCAACTTACAGCAGTGATGTGCGAAACTAACCCGAATTATACTATAGGGTGTGGTCCAACACTAATACAAATAAGATGATTAGTGTGTGGGACTAACGTTTATTACAAGAGTTGTATGCGAGCTTACCTTTCATAGAGTAGAGAGGTTTGCGAAGCAAACCATTAATAAGCAGAGTGCATGGTAATATCTTGACACGTATTTACAACCATAGTGTTGTTAGTAAGAGGGAAGTTTGATTACATTAAATGTATACGTTATATTATTTTTTGTAGAATGCTGCAAAGCAATTGTTATAGACGGGCATATGAAAGGAACACGTTCAGTGTGCGCGGCTACGGATGTAAGAACGACAGAATCCGAAGAGCTTGGTAGCATTTCCATGGGTTGCTGGAAAATGCCAGTGAAAGGATCACTATTTTGTGCTGCTCATAAGAATGCCAAGAAACCGGAAAAGGTAATCATGAAAAAAAAATACATATTTTTGTAGAAAGTAAATAACGGACATATTATCACATTGAAATAAGCTTGCATGCAGTAGTGGGTAATTTAAATGAAAAAAGTGACATTTTCCTTTTTATTGTTAATTACAAATCATTTGGAATTTAAAAATCAGAAATGAAAAAGAAGAATGGAAATGTGGTTATACATTGGTTTTTTTCAATTTCTGGAGAAAATATATTTCATATACATGTACACTGTTAATGTTACAATTGTACATGTATAAAGTAGTTCAAAGTAAGGATATCATACTTTTAATAAATACAAAAAATTTTTGTTTGGAATATTTTTCATGTCAATTTTTGCAAGTTTCGCAAATTGTAAATGTATAATTTTAAGTATTGTGAATGAAATTAATTTACGACACTTATAAATGTAACATAGTAATAAATACATATTAAAACTTCACAGAATGAGGCAACGGCTCGAGGTCAGACAAGATTATTCGGAATGTAAAACCCTTAAAGAGAAAGGCCATCTTCAAAAGTATAAAAGTGCAGGAGTGTGTGCGTCAGTCTATAACTGCGGCATTATAAATGGCATAAGAGAGTTGTACGGTTGTGAATCTCTTACTCAGGTGTACATTTTTTTGGTATGGTTGGTAAAGGTGTTAGTTTCCCCAAATCTTCTTGCATACCACGATGCCTGTCACTTAAAAAAATTCATTATGAATCCCATCAGAGCAGAAAAAACCGAATATTCAATATTTTTGAAGAACTTGAGAATTGTAGTGGATAAAATGCATTTTGTAAATCAAGTTGATAAATGGTGCAGGAGAAATGTTAATCCATACACAGATGATTTATTTAAAAACATTAATACTGAAGCATGTGAACAAACATTTCAATTTATTGCGAAATTTAAGTGCGCAACCAAACATATGTCCTATGGTAAGTACAATTTATTCATGCTTAAAATATCAGAAATGTACAATATGGATAGACTTGTTAGAAACAGGAAAAAAGTAAAATTTCCAGTACATGTGTGAATTGAATGAGGAAATGGAGTTATTAAACATCATTTATCATTAATGAAATTTACCTAGCTATAAATGTTTTATATGACTTTGAAGCTTATTAGATAAGCTAATTTATGCGCTCCTATCACTTTTTTATGTACATGTAGTACTTATGACAATATGTTTATAATTATGTATGTGAGATATATATATTAGTCATGTGATAAGCAAATGACAAGTAGGACAAATATATCTGAGTATGAAAATATGAGTAGGTCTTTATGATAAGTTAATGTTACCAATAAATATACATTGTATTTTTGGAATATATAAGAAAATAAAATGTTCATGTATTCTCAATATCATATAAACTTTTATTACAATGCTAAGTTGACTTTGTAAAAATAATAATTTAAACGGTGTGAACGCAATATCATAAACATGTTGTTTACATTACGATGTTGACGATGTAGACATACAATATTATAGAAATAATAATGATGTAGACGATGTTGCATTTAAACACTGTCTGTAATGCATTGTGAACAATGTTTACATCAATGCAGAAACAATACCAATGTCAACAATGTAAACGCGAAATAGTTACAACATTAATTACATTGCGTTATTGATATACAATGTAGAAATAATAACAATGTAGACGATGTAAAAGCGATATCGCATCAACATTGTTTACATTGCGATGTGACGATGTCGTCATGTAGAAATAATAACAATGTAGACGATGTAAACGCGATATCGTATCAACGTTGTCAACATTGCGATGTCGACGTTGACGATGTCGTCATGTAGAAACAATAACAATGTTGACGATGTAAACACGATATCGTATCAACATTGTTAACATTGCGATGTCGACGTTGACGTTGTCGTCATTTAGAAACAATTACAATGTAGACGATGTAAACACGATATCGTAACAACATTGTTTACATTGCGATGTCGCCATGTAGAAACAATAACAATGTAGACGATGTAAACAGAATCGTTAAAAC